TAAATCATATGACGATCGCATATATCGATTAATAATTAATATTCATCAAAGTTAACTATTTATTAAATAGGATAATTCAGCCCTAATTAAGCAACTATATGCTGTTACTCATGGTACATCTCTCTTATGTGCTATTATGATTCCAGACACCTTTATTAGTTTGTGCCGATGGACCATTCCGCTTATTTTTGGAAGTAAATGTCCCGCTTGTACGAAATAAATTCTGGCCGACATTATGGTGCTTCGAATCGCGAGCACAAACTATTATGGCCAGCATCTTAAGATCTCGAATATGGCCACTTGTCGAATATCGCAGGTTAGTACTGAGATTAGAGAAAATAATAAATAAGGCAGCATTACTCATAGAAATTATGTAAGAGCTACTCTAAATTTGCAGTATCAAGTAACACTGTCTCTATATATTGTTATAATAATATCTCTATATTATTATTAAGGGAAATTTTAACTTTGTCCGACGGAGGCGAAGTGGCTTTAGATTGGGCCGAAAAAGATTGTTCCATTACTTCGCCGATCGTTATCATTTTACCTGGTCTTACGGGCGGTAGTCAAGCGGAATATATTAAGTGCCTAGTGTCAGCCGCGAAAAAATGTGGGATACGATGTATGATTTTCAACAATAGAGGTTTAGGCGGAATGACACTCAAGGTAGAGTTAAAAGCGCGGTTGTGTTAACTCACAAAAATATTCTAACAATTAAATTTACTTCAATTAAATTCACAGATTTATTTTGTTTTTATTATAGAATAATCTTTTTCACGGACAAAAAGTGGATATACAGTTATTTCTTAGTATGTCAAAGTTCAATAAATTAAGCTTCGAAGCTACAAACAATAACATTTTATTCTTTATTCAATTTTAAACTTTATTTTAATAAAATTTAATAATAAATGATTAGTAAAAATATTTGAATGTTATACGTCAAAAAGTTATTAAAAAAATAATGTTTAATCAAATTTTTGCTAAAAATCGATCAAAAATCAGTATATATCTACTATATATTTACTTTTTGTCAATTCGAAATTGTTTTCTGTATGACGAAAAATCTATTTATTTTGTAACTTTCAGACCCCGCGAACATATTGCGCTGCAAACTACGATGATTTAACTGAAGTTATAGAACACGTGAGAAAACTTTATCCTCATGTACTCCTGGGGGCAACTGGAATCTCTATGGGAGGGTAACGATCATATTTTCTAATGATAATTAAATTAAATCTCGTAGTAATACAAGAGTAAATCTCTATAATGCTTAGAAATGAATACTAATGTATGATATTTTCGCGCATTGTACATATTTTTCTTCTGCCACATGCAGGTTGATCCTAGGTAATTATTTAGCGCAAGAAGGCTTAGCAGCAAGAAATAAATTGAAAGCATGTCTTATTATTTCGGTGCCATGGAACGTGTTCGCTGCAACGAAGAACACCGAAGAAAATTACTTTAATCTAATGCTGAATAAGTATCTAGCCGGTAATCTATGTCGCACACTACAAAAATATAAAACCTCTGGCGTTAATTTCTTCAATGTGGATATCGACACAACTCTTAAGGTATATTTTTGTTAAATACAGATATATATGATTACTACAAAAAAAAAAAAAAAAATTGCTGGCACAGCAAATTTACGTTGTGTAGTAGAATATGTATTATTATATGTACATCAAAAAATTTGTTACAGTCACTAAATTGATTGGCTGAAAATAATTTTGCTAAACTTGCAAATTATACTGCTATTATAACAAAGATTTTATCTTGCCATCAAAATTTATATTAGCAACAACACTTTCGGCAATAACAAATTTAAAAAATTTTTACAATATCATGCAAACATCGTACGTTTCTATCTTTCGTAAACGTATTATCGTTTTTATCAAAGTAAAATATTTTCGAAATCTAAAATTTTTTATGAAGACAAAAGTTAACTCTTGTGTTTCTCGATTTAGTTCTTATTTTTGCTGCTTTACGTAAAAAAAAAATTTTTTTGCTATCACAGCAAAATCGTTGAAAATCACATTGATTTGCAACCACAACAAAAAATGTATTTTTAACAAATGTTAGTGTAGTAAAATTATAGCTGCTAATAAAAAACATTTTGTTATAATTATGACACTATAATTTGCATGTTTAGCAAAATTACTTTTAACCAATAAAATTAATATTTGTAAGAAATTTTACTGTCCGTGTAATAAATAACATATTTTGCTACGACAACATAAAATTGCTGTGCTAGCAAATTTTTTTCCATGTACAGAATGTTACAAAAAAATATATTATACATTGATAAATTTCTTGACAAATAGACTTTAGAGTATCAAAATAATCAGTAATTAAAACAGATATTAATTAAATTAAAGATTATAATTAGTGATATATTTGTGACATGTAATTTAATATCATTTTCCTTGTAACTTTTTGATAGATAAATTTAAAATTTTTAATTAAATAAAATTAAATTAGATATCAGTTAAATTAAAGATTAATGATCGATATCTGATGATATTTGCGACATGATTTGATATCGTCTGATTATTGTCTAACCAATTGATAAGTAAATTTTACTCATGCTTGAATTACTATGTCTTACAGAGCCAAACAGTAAGAGAATTCGATTCTAATTTTACGACAAAACAATTTGGATACAATAACGTCGAAGAGTATTATCGAGATGCTTCGTTGAACGACAAATTGCATCTGATCGAAGTTCCAACATTGTGTCTTAGCGCCGCAGATGATCCATTCCAGCCAATACAAGGTGTGTATAATGTATAATGCGATAAAATTACCTATGATGGCATATTAATTTTAATATAATTTTTCAGCAATACCTCTGAAGGAAATAAGTAAAAGTAAAAACGTGGCTGTAGTGGTAACATCACGTGGCGGTCATATTGGTTTCCTAGAAGGCGTTTGGCCGATCAAAGACGAGCAATATATGGGCAAATTCTTCTCGCAATTTTTCGCGGGGATGTTCACTAGCGATTTCGACTAGCACAATGTTTAACGTAAACGTGAGAATCGAGAAACGGTATCGTAAACGTCAACGTTGACTGACTTACTATCATCTGGTATCAAGAGATACATGCTACGATATCGTTTAATTTTCTTCAAGTAGATTATCAAAGTCAGGCGAGAGAAATAATGCGGCGTGCCGCTTAACTGTTTGCGTTGAGCGCGACTGAACAATGACGAGAAATAATCAAAAAACAAGAAAAAAAGGAAACACGGAAAGAGAGAGAAAAATAATAGCAATTGTAATATTTACTCTAGTATAACAATTTCTTATCATTTTTATATGATACTGTAATGTAATACTTGGGATTAAATAGTTGGACATTAGATTCGAATGTCTACTTTGTACAAAACAATTATATAGAAAATGGATTATTGTTCACTCACATCTTAATAACACAATTGTATACTATTTATTTATACCTTAAAGACAATATCGAAACTTCAATATTTTTTTTTCTTCTCATTTTTCTTTTTCTCTCACTTCCCTCCTTACCCTGTTTTCTCATTACTTTACATTTGCCTAATCACCTCAGTTGAGAGACAACGACGAGTTAATCTTTGCATGTGTTTACGTTTCACAAAAGAGAAAAACTTAAGTGCATATTAAAATCCCTACCACATTTTTCTCTCTTCTAATAATCTTTGTAATAGCAACAAGACAGCAGATAATATTTTACATAATTACGCAAGTATAATATAATGGATAAATTCACTCACCGGTCGTTGTACTCTAGCTAAATACGCTTTTTCAGCTATACCTGAAAAAAATTAAACTATATTTTAATTTTTGTAAATTAACAAATATTTTGTGTATATTGATTATTACATATTATTTATTTCTATTTTTCTTAATAGTGCATGCACACAATAATTATTTAAAAATTTTAATAAATATTTAATGTTTTAATAAACATTTTAATAAAAATCTTTAAATATTTAACAAATTGTAATTCTATATGTTTGAATTGCTATAATTATGTATATATTTAAATTAAGAATAATTGCACTTACCAACTAGAGTATTGCAGTGTGCTCTATCCTTTGCAGATTCCTTCTTAGACTGCTTCGCATAATCTCCAATCGATGAATATTGGAAATCAGCATTATTGTCAAATGACAGTCGGTCACATTTTACTTTCACAGATTCACATCGCGAACTTTCACATACGAAACGCGAACACGAAATGAAATAAGCTTAAAACGCGTCCATGCATTTTATAATCTATTCAACGTTACTTATTTCAAAAGAACGAGACAAACAATAATTGTTTTCTTGGCGGCCATACGAAGGTCATGTTACATGATATATTAACTATTTGACAAAGTGAATAATTTTACTCAACAAACAAAATTTTTGAAATATTATATCTCATTAAAAAATATGAAAAAAGTCAAAAAATAAAGATTCCTTTATTTTTCGACTTTTTCTAGTATATCACAAATTGTTATGACATCAAAATTTTTGTACTCACGGGATTGTGAAGAATTCAATTTAAGGTACAGATTGACTTTCGCGTTCCCGCCATTAATCGCGAACACCCGCGGCAAGTAACACAACTTCCGTAATCGTCTGTTATTTTAATCGGCACTCCCGATACAAACTCGTTTTTTACTTTTCAATAAAATACTTGCTTTATTGAAGATCCACGCTCTGCGTTCCGAATCGAATATGATGAAGACACGCACAATTGATTCTTTACAGCTCCTTGTAGAGTTCACGTTGCACTTTCTGCACTCACAAAGAAATAAATATAAATAAACGTTATAGAGAAAAAGAAAAAAAGATATACAAAATTATATAAAAACCTTGCAGATAAGAACATCCGCATTTAAGTGTTATTGCTACATACATTTTATTTGAATAATCACATAGCAAATATGAGAGTGGAATATTCTAATACATATAGAACACACACAGCATAATACACATATAAATAAGATATAAAATATAATACCTGTTGAAAAGTTTTCTTGTGAAAGCACATATGTATAAAACACACGATATTATAATAATGATACATCAGTCACGATAAATTTCGGCTCCAGAACCACAACACTTCCCCCTCTTTCTTGTCTCGCGAAACAAGATAGAAAAGGAGACACACGTTGAGGCGCGATAGATTCTATAATCTATGCACACAGCAATTGATGAGAGACGATCAGTGTCTGTCTCCTTCTACTCCTTTTCCTCTTACTTCACAAGACAAGAAAGGGAAGCGCGTTGCGGCTCCGGAGCTGAAATTGACGATGCCTGATATACATATATACGCAATATTCAACGAGCTACATTCAAACGTCTGAAATTTCACAAAACACTCGCGACAATTTCTCGCGGCCGGACTCACGGCACAAAACAACGATGTTAACCGTGAACAGACGCGGCAAATAATACATTCCGGCGCTCTCCCGTAACTTTAATCGATACTTCCAACAAAAATTCACATTTGCAATGCACTTTTAGCAGATAAAATACGCGTGATCCACTTATAAATATCAATCGCAACGAAACGTTCTATTTGCAGAACGATGGCAATGCAGTGAAGTATGTTTTATTCACGCAATTACCACCATTCGAAATCTGCTTCGAGAATCGCAATATCAAAGGTTGGTATTACGAGTTCGAGATATTGAAGTGATCGAGATATCGAAGTCAAGATGTTTAAAAAGATTGTTCAAATAAAAAAAATTTCGTAACATGATAAAATCAAAATCTAATCTGGAAAGATTCCATATAATATATAATAATATAAAAACAATTTACTATAAATGCCTAAATACTGGATTTTGCTATTACGCAAATTATACTGCATGTTACAATTTAAGATTTAGAAGAAATTTTTTACGAAAAGAAATCTCGACGTATTAAATTAATTTAAAATATATCGAAAAATGTTTGTAATATTTCCATTACAGCAATAGTTAACGCAATTATCTCCGTTATATCGATAATTAATGAAATTAATTATAGTTTTTCATAAAAAGCTGCACTACTAATTGGTTTAATAATCTCTCCCTATCATTAACACAATATATAAATATATATATCCTTAATTATTACTGAATTAAAAAATAAAAAGATTTTTATTATTGAACTCTTGAGTTACTATGCAAAACTTACGTAAAACTTTATCCAATATTCTCAATGCTTTGCCTTTTTCGTATAATAAATAAAAAATTTGGTGATATTTCTGCACCGATATCGTTACATTGTACCACGTTTTGGTACAATTTAAATCTTTAATCTTCATAGAGTAAACAACAGGATAGATAAATCTGGGACTGGCTACTACGTGTTTTAAACACTATGTGTCTATGTTGCACCTTAAACAAACAAAAACTCAGTCGTAAATATTAGCATAAAAATATAAATTTCATCGTTTTTTTATTTGACAATAAAGACACATTATTATAAAAAAATTTGCAGTTTAAGCATATCAGATGAATTTGCAACAATACATTTCAATACATATAATAATCGCATATATATTTTTAGCGATATATTACCTTACAATTTCTTGATTTTTAAAAGATTTATGCAAAATATTGGATTTAAATTTTTCTTCAAGCATTAATTACAATTTAAATTCCAAACCCAAAGATTGTACAATAAACGATAAGATGTCGGTACTTTCTTCAATCTAAAATAAAATATTCTTCATTATGCATGGCATTTCTTAAGTTATATGTATGTAATGTTTTTAATATGGGTGTTGCTTTATGGATTGCAAGAGTACTTACCACTTTCATAGTGGGCTTTCCACCTCCATGACCTGCTTTAGTATCTATTCTTACAAATAAAGGATTTGTTTGCTTTGATACGTTTCCAAGTGTATGCTGAAGAGTTGCTATTAATTTAAGAGTGTGCAATGGTACAACTCGATCATCATGATCAGCAGTCAGAAGCAGCGTTGCAGGATATTGTACATCATCTGGTGGTACTCTTACATTATGCAAGGGTGAGTATTTCAACAGATTCTGAAAATGCTTGAGATCATCAGAGCTTCCGTAATCCGAAACCCAAGCAGAACCGATAGTAAATTTATGAAAACGTAACATATCCATAACGCTGCAATTACCAGAAACATTTTAATAACTTGTATACATATGTAAATAGTTATTATAATACAAATATATCAACTAACCCCACTTGAGCTATGGCTGCGCCAAATAAATCAGGTCTCTGATTTATGCATACAGCAACAGCCAGACCACCATTACTGCCACCTTGAATTGTCAACTTTGATGAAGTAGTATATCCGTTCTCCACAAGATATTTTGCTGCATACTGAAAATCATCGTATACATTTTGCCTATTGAAGAAGCGTCCTGCATTATGCCATTTTTCTCCATATTCACTATAAAAGAGTGTGCCTCGTTTTTCATACAAGTAAATACAAATAATACTTTATAATAACTTTCCCAGCATTGTGCTCTTACATACCCTCCTCCACGAACATTAGCAACAGCAAGTACTCCATTTAAATGTTGTATAAAAACAAGTCTTGTAACACTGAACGTAGGCTGAATGCTCGCGTTAAACCCACCATATCCGTAAAGTAAAGCTGGCATAGTTCCATCCAATATGGCATCCTAAATTAAAAACTTTTCTTGGTAACTTTTTACTTTTGATATTCATAAAATAAAAAAAAACAGAATAATTGCTAAATATCTCAAAATATTTTTTATTTCTAAATATTAAAGATTGCAATTGGCATTAATAATGAAATATATTTTATCAGAAATGTTTTAAAATAATATACGTACACTCTTTGTTACTATAAACATGGGGATTTTTGTACCATCCTTGCTTGTATAAAATATTTGACTAGTCTTATATAAACTTGCATCAAAACCCTTTACTTTAATTTCTCGTAATACCTGAAAACAACAATATTAATTACTCAATCTATAATAATTTTAAAAATATGCTATTGTAGATAAATATTGTAAAATAAATATTAACTCGTGGTTTCTCTTCTTTTTTCAAATCGATTGTATATATGATGCCAGGAGTTAGGAACGATGTAAATTGGTAGAATATTTCAGAATATTTTTTCTCTCCTGAGAATCCAACAACAGTGCCAAGATCAAGAGGGAATGTTTTAAGAATTTCACCAGATTTTAAACTATGAAGTTGTAAAATATTCTAAAAAAAATGTTATCATTAATATTCACAATTATAATCTTTATATTCTAAAAACATTATATATATATAAATTACCTTAACATCTTGTATATAACAAGCAACAAATTTATCTCCATCAACAGCAGTAGCCCAATCTAGTACATTCTCAGGATGTTCTGGCAATAGATCAACCCATTTGTCTTGTCCATAATCTAACAAATCTATAGCTATCAATTTGTAGTTAGATGCATTTTTATTTGTGCGGAACACAGCTTTGGTACCAACATTAGTCACATACTGAAAATACATGAAATTGTAATAATGTGGAAATATAGTAAATTTAAGAAAAAGAAATATTGACTACTAACTTCATAATCAGCTTCAAGTTTATCGACAACCTGCGTTAATGGCAAGTTGCTGCTTATACTCATTCCAGGTTTTAATGGCGTAAAATATACTAAATTATCTCTGCAGTCCTTCAGAGGAGTAACAATAAGCCAGTTGCCACAATCAGATACTTGTGCACCTCTGATAAAGCAAAAGTATGCTTATCAAATATACATATAAAAAATTTATTTTATATATATATATATAATTGTCTAAATAACATTTTATGATTAGTATTATAAAGAAATTTAAAGAATAAAATTGTAAAACTCACATCCTCCACAATGGTTCTTCGGGAAATTCAACAGCAACAACATCACCTGATTGTGGTGTACCAACAATGTGATAGCATAACTTTTGATTTTGATTACCTAATGTTTCTGAACCATCAGTTTTTCCTTGTTGATCTCGATATTGTCCGTAAAAAATTCCACGATTATCATGAGTCCATGCAATTGGTGAAAACTTTACTTTTTCCAAAATTTCCGAATATTTTTTACCTTCACAAATAAATAATTATAGTGATATTATATACTTAATAAGTATATGAATACTATATAAAAACACACATCTTAATAATTTTTGCATTATCACATACCAGTTTCTGCATTCAAAAAGTGGATAGTACTCCAATCGGAACCACTTTTAGATAATCCATATGCAAAAATGCTACCATCTTCGCTAAAACTACTACTAGTAATTGCAACAGTTCCATCTTCAGAAAGAGTATTAGGATCAAGAAATACTCTTGGTTCACTTTCAAGAGTATCTTGGACATAAAGAACACTGTAAATAAAGATTCATTAATTAAGAATTTACTTTTTAGATTA